CCACCGGGGGTTCCTTGGTGTTGGGTGGTGCAGGGATTTGGGAGGAGAGAGAATGTTAGCCCCCCTTCTCCTCCTCCACACGCCGCTTTAACCGAAAAGAAATCGGGCATTGGTGTGTTTTGGGGCCAGGCGTTCCGGGTGGTCAGGTAAGTGGGCTTCCTTCCTTCTTCTCGAACAAAGGGCAAGATTCGCCCGAGGAAAGAGCGAACAATTTTTTGAGTGTGGTGAGCTACGTGTGCGCCAACTTCTTGGCTACACTTCCGGGCATCTCTGATGGCAGCGATGTCGACGGCTTTGGTGGCTCTCTGGCCGATCTGAACCCCATCGAGTATTTCTGCTGAACCTGTTCCTGTCATTGGTAGTGTCCGAGTCGATGATGCACGTGATCGGAGCTGCCGTCCCGCACTATATTATCGGTATCGCGTTGGGTGCCGGCGTGTTCGGTATGTTCATGTTGTGTGAGGGTTTCATGGTTCCTCGTGACTCGATCCCGGACTACTGGATCTGGGGCTACTACCTGGCGTTCCACTCGTACTCGTTCGAGTCGTTCGTGTTCAAGCAGTTCGAGAACGAGACGTCAGACGCGGCCAAAGCGATTTTGACAAAATACGGCATGGAGGACGTGGACGTCTCCCGAGATATGATGCTTTTGATCGTGTATATCGTGGGCTTCCAGGCCATTTTCGCGGCCATCCTGTGGAAATTTCACACAGGTCGTCGCTGAATACCCTTTTAGCTTGCGTTAATATGGAGCGAATTTAGCTCTTGTACATCGGGTTTTGGCTTGCTTTTGCTCACTTTTCAACTCAACTTGAAGTTTTGACAATATATGTATGATTTTTCCGATATAAACTGGCTAACGGGAAGCAATAATCGAGACCAACGTAGTCTTCTACCTTCGCATCCTATGCTGCTTCCCAGCAGAAACTTTCGGTGAGTTCCATCGCTGCACTGAAACGAGAATGCCATCAACAAGAATTGCCTTGCTGCCGAGAGAGGATTAAGCCTTTCCCGTGTTGGATGGTTCGCAAAGTGATCGTGCCTTCAAGGCACCATCGTTGCGTTGTATACTTCTCCGGCCCGTTTCAAAATGATGATTGGGGTTTTTTATTGATCGCACATAACTGAATAATCTACTTCAATTGGATAAAAAAGACTTTGGTTTTGCATGGCTGCGGGCCACTAAAATTATGGTTGGCCTAGACTAAAGTCAGCCCCGCATTTTGGGTTTTAGCACGATGCCCAGAACACCTGGAAAACAAGACATTACGCCTGAAACTCGTCTCAATGTGGTTGTGTTCCTTGCTGAACGGAGCGCTAACGGTAAATTGCTCCGTGGAGCAGTTTATGCAGCTATGGAGGCTTTTGATATGTGTCGCAACAGGGTCAAGAAGATCTGGAAGTCGCGCCAAAAGGTCGGATTTATATCCGCCCAGAAGCGAGTGCAGCCCAAGCGCGGAAGGCGCCTGTCGGTGCAAGAAGTTATCGAGATCGTCCAAGGGGTGCCGCTTTGCCAGAGGCAAACCCAACGAGCACTGGCGGCTGCATCTGGTATACCACGCACTACGCTACAGCGGTATCTTGCTGATGGGACTCTACGTCGCGCATCTTCTCGTGTTAAACCTACTCTGACTGATGCTCACAAGACAAAACGACTACAATGGGTTTTATCGCATGTCGAGATGGCATTAGGTACTGTAACATCTCGAAAGTTATTATTACTCAACCTTTTTAATTGTTATAGCCATTAATTATCTTGTCTAAATTGTTTTGACTCAGGTGCCCGAATGTACCGCATGTGCAGGGGTGTAAGCCACAATAGTCATATTTTAAAGTTTTTACATTATTAATAATAGTAATACAATTGTTATTTGTTATTAAACGCTGATATAATTATTATGTGTACTACTACTACAAATGACTGCAAGCAAAAATATGAGATGCCTTGATAATAGTACTAAGAAAAATAATAATGTAAGTTAAATTAGTACAACAGTGCTACGAAGCCTAAAACATCATTCTATATTCAATAAGTACTAAAGTTTCGATTGATGCCGAAATATAAGTCACCAAAGCCTACCCTTTTTGTCAGCATCTCCTACGACGATATAGTACGTGTGTGCTTATCGGCGCCTTTTAATTATGCTAACTAACGCGTACACAGGCAGCGCCCTTTGCGTGAGGTGGCGAACCGCAGCTGAAAATGAGAGCAAAATGAAATTTAAACGGTGCAGTTAAGTACGATGTGTAGTCCACATACAGTAAGTACAGCACATAATATCTGTTTTAGCCAATGGGGGCCGCCTTCGCTGCGCTCGGCAGCTTTTTAGCGAATTGAGGCCGCCTTCGCTGCGCTCGGCAGCCAGTAGAACGCCCGCATTTGCGTTACATTAATTAACCCTAGCCGCGGACGGACTGACAGACACTAGGACCTAGTGTGTGTAAGATTGTGCACTCCTCTTACAAATGCCACGTCTCTGCTTATTTTTTTTGGATCATTTCTTAATGTTCGACTCCGTATAAATACCGGTACCCACTGCCACCACTGGCTCTCGGTGACACCGTGTCGGTGTCAATTTCTCCTGGAAAACTTCTGCCAGCAGGCATTGCAGCTGTCCACCGCACTTGGCTCTCCTTCGTCTTGTTGTCGCTTGTCGTCGGGTGGGCACGGCCATCTGCCGCTGGCGCTCACATCTTCTCTCTAAGGGCGTGTTCGCGTTGTGCCTGGAGATGGAGATGGTCCCATCTCACTAAATACGTCTAACAATTGATTGGCCAAAATCCATTTGTTACAACTGCACAACTGGAGATTAGAGGTGATATCCTTCTCGACCTATTGGAGGTGGAGACAGGAGACGGAGGTAGAGACGAGAGGCTCACAATTTGTTATGGAGGAGGACATTGAAAACGTTTTGCTAGCTGTGTGTGCTGCAGTAGGACAAGCGGCTGTACTGCTTATAACTGCTGTACGTATAATGTAGCGCTAGACTCATACACAGTACCTTTGACTTGCACTGGGTAGCATCAACCTCGAGGCCACCAATACGGTGAGTCTCTGCAGCTAGGTAATTCTCACGCAGCACTCAACTGCTTTCGAGTTCTTAGTGCCATCGAAACATCCCTTCAGGCTATCGAATCGCAATCTCAGCAGCACCTCAGCCGCATTTACTGTCCACGCAAATGGGTGCTTTGTCTCGTTCCTGCCTTGATTCCTGCGGCGTGGTGCGCTCTGACCACTGCTGGTACGAGTGTGTACCGGTATGATAGCTGCGTCGTCCTCTGGTTGAGTGGCGTCTTCAGACCTTAACTGCATCATTCTTTGTTCTGCAGGAGAGCGTGAAGATGAGGATGTGACTTCTCGATTCTAGGTTGTGAGTGCCGTGTCCACACATGGTATCGGCACCTGATTAGTTTAAAGTGCACCTGGAGAAGGAACGTAGCGACACAACTGGAGGTGGAGATCGTAGGACACCACAATCATCTCCATCTCCAGGCCACAACGCGAACAGGCCCTAATGGAAGTCTAGGTCATAC